AGGGCAGGGGGGTGAGGACACTCTGCTTCCCTGAGATCTCTTTGTTTCCAAACACCCTTTAACTTTGAAGTCCAGGCAGTGACAGAAAGGGGCACTGTTGTTCTTTGCACAGGGATTTATGTGCAGCAGGAACAGATTTGCCCTCGCTGGAGTTTAATCATTTACTCCTGCGGGCACCCTGGAGCAGGCAGGGGTTGTTCCCATTTATTAATTACACCTCTGACTGCAGAGAGGCTGTGCTGAGGGGCTGACAGCAACCTCCACAACTGCTCAGTGGGGAAACCCATGGGCCTGGAGCTCTGGTGTGATCCCTGCTGCTGCCACGCTGCTCACACGGAGAATATTCACCCACCAGCACGTGGCTGTTATAGGAAGGAAATTCCCTTAATGAGCTTAGCCCAGAAGAATAAATTCTGTAATAGTTAACTCTCCTTTAGCAGCAGAAGGTGCAAGGCAGTGGTACTCCCTCAGGAGGGTCCTTTCCATGTGCTGCCATCCCTGCTCCCAGCTGCCTTGGAAATGATGCTGAGAGATCCCCTCATTGCTTCCAGTGTTGTTGCCCCTGCTGGATTTGTTTTCTTATTTTGTTTAAAGGAGGGGGGGTGGGCTCAGATGTCCCTGCTCAAAAGCTGAGGACACCTTGGGGACCTTGTGCAGAGCAAGGTGAGTGTTCCCACCCTGGACAGGTGAGGAAGCAGCACACGGTGTCACAGGTCAAGCTGCCTGTTACTACCCCTGAAAATCATCTCTGTCAGAGCCAATCTGTCTCCACCCAAAATATCTCTTCAGAGCAACCCAGGACGTGTCCAAGGCCAGGTTGGACAGGGCTTGGAGCAACCTGGTCTAGTGGGAGGTGTCCCTGCCCATGGCAGGGGGTTGGAATGACATGAGCTTTAAGGTCCCTTCCAACCCAAACCATTTCCTGACTATATGATGCTATGATTCTATAAAATAACACTGAGTAGTCTTAAGGGGTTCCCACTTTATTATATTCCATTTTATTGCTAATACAGGCTAGTTTTATTGCTAATACAAGGGCAATGGCTTTGCTTCTGGTGTGGTAATAAATGTCCTCAGATAGATTAGTTGGGCTGAAGCCCAGCCAATATTGGGGAGTTTATGGCACAGGTTTGGTACAAAATACAATTGCTGCAATATAAGTAATCATATTATGATAAAGAAGGCAAAACTACTCAACAGAGATTTATCTTCAGGCAGGGACACTCCAAAGTGCTTCAATGATTTTTTTTACACAGAAAACAGTCTGGCCTTCAAAGCCTGTCTGCACCCAAGAGGGGAAGAGCAGAACTTTGTACCCTTCAGCAGAACTAGGGCAGAACAAAGTGGTTTCCACCAATCTCCCTCTGAACCTCACACACTTCTCACGCAGTGAAAATCCTGGAGACACACAGAGTGCTGGAACCAGCCCAGGGCATTCTCAGAAGTGACACAGGTAGATTCCTGTTTGCAATAAAACATTTTTATCTGAAGGAAAAGCAGACCAAAGTCCCTCTCAACAACACAACTGTGAAGTGCCTCCATAGCTTTGAGGATATCAGCAGGCCTGCACCTCTCTCAATTAAGATTATTTGCTTAGTGCAAAAGAGGAACTGTGTGTGTGCAAGAATAAACCTCTTTTAGATCCATCTTAAGGCCCTGTGAGTCCATGGGCGTGGCCATTACCCCAAAATAAACTGTAATTGTCACAAACATACCTGGGTTTTGGTGGTACCCGTGCAGAGCTCTGGGTTTGGTGCTGGATGATGGTGCCTTTCCTGTGGCAACAAAACCCACCAACTGGCAGAGTTTAAATATACAATGGTTAGAATGCAGCAAGATTAAATTCAGAGAGAAATCAGGCAGGGACTGGCAAGGCAAAAAACCAGAGAGACAAACAACCCAACTCTAAAGCAGGAGCTTAAAAGTTAATTTTACACACCTGCAAATGGTTCCCAGAGCTTGGCTGGTGATGGTGATGATGCCCTTGTGGGAGAAGCATCTGGACATGCTCTGTGATGAACAACAGGGAAGAGAAAAACCAGACTTAAAATGTAGGAGTTGGTTAAGCAGCACTTGTAGCAGCACAGCATCACCACCCACTTCATTTTTGTTGCAGGGACTGTTTTATAAGAGGGGTTGAAGCAGAAGCAACCTTTTTGTCCTGGATTCATCAAAAACACAGCATCAAAAGACAGGCATGAGCTACATGAAGCACTTGGGTCCATTCAAACCACAGCAGTCTGAGGAAACACAAACAAAATTCTTCCTTGATGTGAAGTTCTGCCTGGAAGTGGCTCAAAATATACAACATTTTACTACAAATATTTAGAGACAGGTGTTTTATGTTGAAGTATTTCGTCTGTAGAGCAGGGGAACTCCTCTCAGACTCTTGCACTTTCTGCTCCTGACCTCTTCATCTTTTCTTTTTCCCCCTTCCATGATGTCACCCACGTCATTATGGCTAAAAATGACCATTTTGGGGTTCCATCCTCAGTATATTGGTGGCCTCTCTGCTATCCCTCCAAGCATTTTGACCATCCCCAGTTTGCTCAGCAATGCACACCCAGGTTTGAGAAAATTTTTTGGTGCACCCATTTTAAACTCTGGACATCAATATATGAAAAAAAGAATTAAACATCAAGAGGTGAGCGAAGACTAACTGAGCTCCAAGCTGCAAAAACCACTTTATTAAACTAAATTCAAGTTGGAAGCAGAGCAGGAGAAGATTTCCAGCACCAGAAGCACCACAATCTAAGGTAGGTGAGCCTCAATTTGCCCTTAAAATACTATTGTTTGGAGAACAATGTACAGTGATTATATGAGACACTTTGAGGGATTTCACCTTTGGCGTGTAACAGATCTGAAATTTAAAGTAATTATTTCCATAGCAATAAAGGTAGTAGAGGTTTATAACGATTTTTCTTCTTTCAGGGTAGTTTGCCTTCATTTCTTTTTTTCTTTTTGAAGCTATAAATTAAATTACTGTCTCTTTTTGGCCATGAAAAAGTATGTGGACAAGGTAAATACTTATTCAAGTCCACACGCAGAGAGACTCTGCCCAGTTAAGCAGCCCAGTTATGGATGGGGGCAGAATAATGGTTTAATCAGACAGGTGCAGAAAATTGATCACATAAATATTTTCACAACATGAAACTGAAATGAGGACAGGAGAAAAAAAACACAATCATATATGGTTTACTTCTGGGATTTATATTGCTCTTTTTTTTTCACTTTCTTTTTATATCCTTAAGGCTTATTTGCTGGAACACCTCCTTGCCTGAAGCCTAAGATTAAATGAAATTAAAATGTAGCTGACAGCTCTGTCCTGCTGATACTAATCCCAAAAATGAGGAAAAGAGGGAGTGCACTGGCTCAGCTGCAGTGCTGTACATCAGAAAAGATTAAACAAACACAGGGATAATATTTTCCTTGATGTAAACAAGGACGTTCAGCTCATTCTTTTCATCTCCTTATTGCTCTAAGCCCTCCAGATCGGTGGGAATTATGGCACTGAGTGAAAATCCCCATTTTTCAAGTCCAGTGGCTGCAACGAGGGAACTCCTGAGGCTCTGCTGAACCCACTGCCCAGAGCTGGGGGGGCTGGAACGTCCTCCTGGCTCTTTGCTGGGCACAGGAGGCTGGGCTGGGCAGGCAGATGTGGTTGCACAGACACACAACCCCCTCTCCCCTGCAGAGCTGCCTCATAAATGGGGAAAACCCAGAGGGGAACTGCCCAAAGTGGATCCTGGGCCAGCTGGACACCCCCCTCCAGCCTGTGCTGAAAGGGGAAGAGAACATTTCTCCAGCCCTATCCCTCACTTCCCACCAGCGAAGGGGAGGGAGAGGTGGATGTTTGCAAGCATGATGTCCCCAGCACAGGGTGTTCAAGGCACAGCAAGTGACTGGTTGTGCCTGGGTTTAGCTAAACCATGACCCTGGTGCAAAGCTGAGCCCACCTCCCGCTCCTCTGCAGCACAGGGGGTGGAGGGGACAAGCACTGGGCTCCTGGGGGTGTCCAGCCCAGGACACAGCTCAGCACCGTGGTGAGCAGGAATAAAGCTCATTGTGGCTTTGAATTTCCTTGTTCATATTTCCTGAGTGCTCTGAAGAGATTCCAGTGCCTGAACAAGGATGATTTGCACTTACCCAGGTTCCAGCTGCGCTGGAGATGAGGCAAATCCTAAACAAAGAGTCTTAGGCAAAACATTGCACTCACCAAAAGTTTTTAACTCAAACAAGGAAGCAATCCCTGTCTTAAACAGAGACACCCAAATACTACCTGTGTTCATATCTGGAAATGGGTAGCAAAAATCTGTATAAACTGCAGGGAATAAAAATAAGAAAAGGAAGATAATTGGGGGATGATAGGAGACATTTGAGTATGTTGGCATTCCTGAGATCTGCAGCTTTTCCAGTTGATTCTTGAGCTGAAAAAAAAAGAGAACGGGAGAAGGGAGAAGAGAGAAGGGAGAAGGGAGAAGGGAGAAGAGAGAAGGGAGAAGGGAGAAGGTCGGCTGCCACTGTCCCTTCATTGCCAGCAATGCCTTTAGTTACCATCCTACCACCCAGCAGAGGATTTAATGCAGGAGTGTGAGGTCTGCAGAGCACTATTACCACTGCTTCTTCCTTTTGAAATTCCCTTATTTTGGGGAATAAATAAATAAAGCTGGGAGCCTGCTCCGCTCCGAGTGCCTGTCAGAGCAATGCAGTGGTTTACCTCAGCAGATCCCAGCCACCATCTCTCTCTTCTGTTTGATAACACAGAAATCAGCAAAATCCCATCCCCAGCGTGAGATTGTTGGAGTTTGCTGAGTGGACACTCAGGAAGGCTGGACATGGTGGTTCTCTTTCTCTTAGCAGCTTTGCTGCAAGGTGAGTCACCAAGAAACCAGGTCTCCAGCCAGCTATGCTGATAAGAACAGGTAAAGCTGGAACTGGGGATACAGGCTGTGTACTTCTGGCTAAATCCTCACTTGGACACTAGACACCTCCACCTGCTATATGGAAACCAGTCAAACCACCCTCCCTGCCCACTAGAAATCTGCAGAGAGTCAGCAAAGCGTGGCCAGGATTCTCCTCCCAGCTCTCCTTTGCTCTCGCTGCAGCATCCACGGGGAAAAGGAAGTTACCAGATCAGGCAGAGTTTGCAAATGCCAAAGGTTATTCTTAGGTGTTTGCCATTAACTGCTGCCCTTGACCTTTAACTCCAGGGCTGGGGGGGGTCTGGAGCATCCTGTAAGGGGCATGAAGGGTCTCTCCATTTGTGCCATGGCATAGATGGGTAATGTAGCCCATCCAAAATAAACTGTGGACTCTCTGAGCCAGGTGTCCCACTGGTGACACTCAGAATCACATCTCTGACTCCAAGGAACTGGGTTTTCCACTTGGGATCTGGTTGTCTCTGAGTAACCAACAGTTTCTCTTTCCTTCTCTCCCTAAAAGAGCCGGTTTTGGGCAGCCTGTACGGACCCAGGTTTTTGACAGGTGAGGTCGGGGGGTCCGTCACCCACCAGTGCTTCTACTCCATCACACCCGCCAACAAACACGACCGGAAATTTTGGTGCAAAATAGCGGAGAACGGAGCTTGCTACACCATCGTCTCCTCGACCGACCCCACCTCCCGGGAGTACGAGGGGCGGCTGTTCCTGCGGGACATCCCCCAGAACGGCACCTTCACGGTGACAATGACAGGGCTGAAGGGCAGCGACACCGGGAGGTACCGATGTGGCATCGGCCCCACCAGGGGGGGCCTCTACGTCAGCCTGAACCTGACGGTTTCGGCAGGTAGGTTTTGGCAGGTGGGTGGGGACAGGGGAGGTTCTCTTCCACCACCTGCTCAGCTCCCAGGAGCGGTTTGGGTTCGGGTGCTGGAGCATCCACTCACAGCAGGTGTATCAGCTTTTTGTACCCCATGCTATTAATCACATATTTACAGTAATGAGGTGTAAAAGCACAGAGATTTGGACAAATCAGCTGTTCATAAATGCAAAAGGGAATTCTCCCCTACCTGGCTGCGTGCTGGACAGTCCCTGTCCTGCTCTCTCCCTGCAGATGCCGGCGTGTCGAGGCCGATCCAGGTCGTCCAAGGGAAGCTCCATGGCTCTGTCACAGTCCTGTGCCCCTCTGGGGACACCCGAAGTGGTGGGAGGAGGTTCTGGTGCAAAGTGGGAAGAACCAGCTGCACTCTCCTAGCCGACTCCGATGGCTACGTGGGAAGGAGATACCACGGGCGCATCTTCATCACCCCCCGGGGGAGCTCTGGAGCTTTCAAAGTCTTGATAAATGACTTAATAAAGGAAGACTCAGGGCTGTACAGGTGTGGGGTGGAAGGGCTGAATGGTTTGGACAGCCCACAGGAGGTGGCTCTGCAGGTGACCACAGGTAGGACAGGGCACAGGGGGCTGCACAGGTTCCTCACAGTGCCAGGTGAGGAGCGTTAAACACTAATTCTGTCCCCTCCAACCTGCAGCCTCCGCTCTTCCCAGGAGACCCAAATTTCTCAGCGGCACAGTCGGAGGCTCCCTGTCCTTCCAGTGCCACTATGACCCCAAGGGGAGCTACGAGAGGAAGTATTTGTGCAGGTGGGAGGAAGGGAGCTGCTCTCTGCTCCTGGACACCGCCGGGTTTGTGCACGAGTCCTACAGAGGGAGAGTACAAACAACCAGCAGCGACCCCGAGCACGGGACGTTCACAGTGGTGATGAGCCAGCTGAGAGAGGAGGACTCAGGATGGTACTGGTGCAGGGCTGCCAGTGGGCACACGGAGCACACGTCCTCTGTGAAGCTGCACATCCACAGGGGTAGGTGGTGGGAGGGCCTGGAACACAACAGGATGATCTTTACGGTCCCTCCCAACCCCAAACCATTCCGTGATAACAACACTGTGAGAAACATCAGCTCTGCATTTTGCCTTAGTTATCAGCAAGCAACTGAGCTGATGGTAAAGGGTTTCAGGGATGTGAGCTGAGCTTTCAGAAGGAATTTAATTGGTTTGAATTATATTATTGATTATTTATGATGCATATGACGTCCTGATCCAGGCAGTGCAAGGCAGAGACACATGCTTGGCTCTGAAGATAAGCTGAAGTTTGCAGTTTGAGAAACTACAGCATGTAAATACACAGATCCATGGAACTGCTCCTCTGGCAGAGACAGAAATAGTGGGGTTAAAGTGGGGATATTTGCCAAGTGTTAAGGTTCAAGTGGTCCCAAGCTGCTCTCTTTAAGAGTCAAAGGAAAACAGAAAATGCTTGGGTCTGGTAGTTTTTTTCACGCAAGGTGAATAAATATTTGGCAACTCTAACACGTTTCCTCTGCAAGAAGACAGATATTAAAGCCTTAAAATAATGTTCTCTGTAGAACTCTGCTCTTCACAAGACCCGGAGACAACCACTCCTGTCAAGTCCACTTCATCAAGCCCGGTTGCCTCCAGCACACCCACACAGAGGAGCATCACAGGCTGGGTGTACACGATGGGCACTGTCACCAAGAGCACCACAATGGGCACTGTCACCAAGAGCACCACAATGGGCACTGTCACCAAGAGCACCACAGTGGGCACTGTCACCAAGAGCACCACGATGGGCACTGTCACCAAGAGCACCACAGTGGGCATTGTCACCAGGACAACCAGGACCCTGCTGCCCACTGCCACCCCTGGCACCTCTGGAACCTCCCCAGGTGAAAGCTATCACGAGAGGTAATTCCACAGCCACGTGTCTCGTTGGCACAGACTTGGTGGTTTACAACCTCCCTGCCCCAATTCCCAGGGCCCTACGGAGTTTGTGCACAGGTTGCAAGTTGAAAACACTTGTAGAAGAGTCAGAGAAGCAGAAGGCAAGGTTACCTCATGTCCATGCACACATCTCGTTGAACTTGTCTCCAAACCTTCTGGTGCTGCCCACTCCCGTGGCCCAGATGCCAGAGTCAACAGATGTGCTCCTGTCTGTTTTGCTTTGCTCAGTACAGAGACAGGACCTTGGGAAACATCAGGCTTGAGCAATAACCTGGTGAATCTGTACCTGCTGCACACTTGACTGCACACCTTGTCCAAGCCCCTGCAGCAGCCAGAAACCCGGGCAGTGTTGGGTGCTCAGGGTTGCATCAGGAGTTATCTTTGGATAAGGTTAATCAGAAGGCTTGGGTATTTTGGCCAGTAATTATTTCATGGTAGTTCTTCACACCAAGCCCTGTGGCTCAAGTGGTTTCCCAGTGGATTTACCTCCTGTGCTTCCTGTTAGGCAGGATGGCTGTGAGCAGCTCCAACACTTCTCTCTCCAGCCCTGTCCACCATCCAGCACTTGGGGGAAAGGATCTGTGTGGCTGGTGCAGATGCACCAGATATTCCAGGATCAGCCATAACTGAACTGGACAAATCCACAAATCCAGCCCAATACTGAGATGTGCACCCTGGATTCACATCTGCCCCACTGACCCCCAGCATGAGAAACACCATCCCCTCCCTCCTCCAAGCCATATCTCCCACCCACCCAGCCAGAAAGAGAAGGGGAGAGGATGTTAGTAATCACAAGTCATGCAAATCTTGTACAAAGGCTCAGATTTTCAGCCGTTCCTGGCAAAGCCCTCTCTGCCTGGGGAGCTCTGATAGCATGTATATCATTTTTTCAAGGAGATGGTTCATAGACACCTTCCAACAGCTTCAGGGTCTGTAATAACTCACAAAAAGGATGTACAGACCTTACTTGTGAATCTGTATCATGAAAAGAGCTTGTTTTCCTTTTGGAGGGGCTAATTCAGCACAAACCCCACACAACAGAGCAGAGGCAGATGTAGAAATTACTTCCTCCTAAGACAAACTCCAGAGCAAATGATTTCACCTCGACTTTGTTGACTGTTCTTTCATTCAGTCAGAGTTTATAGCTCCCTTATACTCTCTGGGGTAAAAACAACAGCCTACATAGGAGAACCAAAATTCTGTTTAATTCTGGTGATTCATCTTTCCAGCTCATCAGGTGAATCCCATCTGCTCCCAGCTGTGCTCCCAGCTCTTGCTTTGCTGATTTGCATCGCTGTCACTGTTCTCGCCCTGGTCAAAATAAAACTTCAAAAGAAGGCAGGTAAGTTGGCCAGGCAACACCTTTTGGGCTGCAGGGGTTGTTTTGCAAGGCCTTTGGCTTGTGATTTCCAGGAGTTGGAGTCTGACCCGTGGAATGTTTCCACCTCTGGGGACACGTGGCCGTTCTGTGGCCGGTGCAGCCCGAAAGCTCAGCTGGAATTGCAAGCAAGCAAAGTCCTCCAGAAGTTGTTTGGTTTTTTGGTTTTGTTTTTTTTTAAACATGTTTAACCAAAAAGCAAATGAAGGAAATGGAAATGCTGAAGCCCTGCTGAAAGCGAGGTCGGGTTTTTGTGTGTAGAAGATTTATGGCACCTCGAGTGCTCGGAAATCCTGAGGTATAAAGAGCAGGGACCTGTGTGGCCTGAGCAGGTTCTGGGGCCAAATCCAGCTCATTTAGTGCAAAACTGACAGAGACAGGCCCAAAAATCCCTTCTAATGACTTATTTTTTAAAAAATACATGCATTATCTCATTCTAGAACATATTATGTCTGTAGAGATAAATTTAGGGGTGGAAAACCTTCAGTGATGACAGCAGGGAGAGGAAATACATTTTTCACAAGAATGAAACTGGGAAATAAGGACCCTAATCCAGTGTCTGGCATGCTGGACATGTTCCCTCCAGTGTTCCCTCCAGTGCATCCATGTGTTTTTGTTTTAAAGGAGGAGAAAGAAGCACCACTGGAAGCCCAGAGGCAGCGACGGCTCAGGCTGGTCCAAGTCCTGTAAAAGAGGAAACAGTGGGGGAAACCTCAAGTCCAGGAAAAGTGCAGGAATGCAAGATGGACTCTGGCAAATGTAGGTGGGTGTTTTCTGGATCTGGCACTGTGTCATCTCCCTGGTTAGAAGAGAATAAAACCAAATTTTAAGCAGAGAACTCGTATCTTAGCAATTAAAACACCTCCACGGGAGAGATTTGCAGTCCAGGAATTACAATCCACAGTCCAGGACCTGTGTTCTGCTGCCAAACTACTGCCTTTGCTCCTCACCAAGAAATTTTAAGCCATAAATTTTAAAAGAGTTGGATTAAATCCTATATAAAGTTCATAAATTTATTGTAGGGGTTGATTATAATTTTTGCTTACATGTAGTAAACCTGTTATCACTCTTCCTGCTTGTTTCAGTGAAATCTCATTGCTTATCACCTTTTCCAGTGTTCCATAGAAGTGATTATTGTTCACTGTGTTGGAACAATATCATTCTTTTCTGTCTTACTGTGCAGGAAAATCTATGCTATCCTTGGAAGATTCAGGATCACCAACTTATATGTAAGAGTCTCTGTCTTCTGGTAAAATATAAGTACAGTGGGTCTGTCTCAGAATGTTAATACTCTTTAGAGAGGAGCTCATGTAGAAAACACCTGAGAAAGTCTTTTAAAAACCTCTATTCTGTGGAAATTTGTATCAGTGGAAAGTTCTTCGTTAAAAGAAAATATTGAAATAATGGTTCAAAAATTTGTTGGTGGGATTTCATATTCTCATTATGATCCACTGAGAGCCAAAAGGGGTCTAAGTCTAAATAATGGGAAGAAAAAAAGTACATCTCCCCTAAACCCTTTGCAAATAAACAATCAACATTCTGTGAAAAACCTCTAAAAGTGAGAACAAAAACCAATATTTGTTAATTGTGCCTTTTGTTCCCAGATATCTGATTTGAGGTAGAGCTTAATCTCAGCAGGAGGTTGACTCCAGAAGTTCCCCCCTGAGCCAGGTTTTTCCACCTTTCTATTCTCAGGACTCCCTAAAATAACAGACCCATTTAAAATACCAAGTTTGGCATAAAAACAGAAACACCCGTGAAATCACCTGCAAAAATATTGCACAGAGAGGCAACAGCAGATCACAGCTTTTCTTGTGTTTTGTTGTTTTACAGCTACCCTACGGGGGAAAAATGCTTTTCAAGGTGACTGATGAAGAATTGATCCAGAACCTTCTATGAAAGCCCCCGTGCACACGAGCTGGGAATTTTCCCTATGGAAAACTAAGGCAGGGCTCTGAACTGCCAGGCACCCAGAACCCTTCTTTGCTCCCTACCCTGCTCAGAACCCAAATGCCCTTTGTTGAGAGCTGAATCCCAAATGGCACTTGCTACGTGTTTTGCAGAGCAGAGAATAAAACAAAGCACCTCTAACCTGGCTCTCTGTGGGCAACTCTGACTTGCAGAGGCAGAGAATCCCAAGGGAAAAGTAATGGAAGGGAAGGACCCTCAGGGTTACTCAGTGAGAGTCAAAAAAATCAGAGAATCACAGACTGGTTTGGGTTGGAAGGGACCTTAAAGCTCATTTGATTCCACCCCCCTGCCATGGGCAGGGACGTCTTCCACTAGCCCAGGTCGCTCAAAAAATAAGGATTTTCTGATTTTTTTAAAAAATAACCTGACCCACCGAGTCATTTTGCAGCACACAAACCACATCTGATTTCGGTTTATCAGACACCCACGTTCCCAAGTGCTGTTTTCCCTTCACCCCCCTCTGCAGAACCATCCACAGGTTCAAAACCCAGCCAGTCCAGCCCAGCCCCAAACAGCAGCTTTGGTTTGCAGCTCTCAGGCTGTGTGTGTGTGTCACGCTGCAAACTGGGCTTTGCCCCCCGCCCAATAAAAGCAATCCGAAGGTTGTTTGTTTTCTGGAGATGCCAAAATGCTTTGGAACCTGTGACTTGGCAGGAGAATGTTTCCTCGTGTGTTAAAGCAAGGAAATGTATTTGCATGAGGCAACAGAGCTGTTTTACTGGAAGCCTTAAGGGTGGTTTGGTTAAAGGAATTGTTCCTTCAGCTTGGACTAACTTTTCTTCCCTCAAATGCACCAGAAATTCCAGGTGCCCATGGCTGGTTTCTGCCTGAATTTCCTCTGCCCATGGCCATCCCCCCTTTCTCCTGGTCTTTAAAACACATCTCTGTGCTAACTGCAGGATGGAGGTGGGATGGTTTTCCACCATCCCTTTTCACTCCCAAATTCTCCCATTCCACTCCCAAATTCCCCATTTCTACTCCCAGCTCTCCCAATTCCACTCCTAAACTCCCCCTTTCTGCTCCCAAAGTCCCCCTTTCCACTCCTAAATTCCCTATTTCCACTCCCAAACTCTCCCTTTTCACCCCAAACTCCCCCATTTCCACTCCCAAACTCCCCCATTTTCACTCCCAAAGTCCCTTCCCAGGGGGATCCCAAGGGAGAGATGCCTGGCAGGCACAGGAAAGCAAACACACCTGTGTCCACTGTGGCCAAGCAATCACAGCTCTGTGGCCAAGAAGAAAAAAAGTAATGCCAACATTTTTTGGGGAATGTTTGGAATGTCCAGGGAAGCAGCTCTGGTGGGAAGGACACAGCTTGCAAGGGATCAGTGTCTGTTCCCATCCAGGAGAGGTGGTGGCTGTTCCCTCAATCCAAGATCCCTACCAGATCACCCTGTGGAAGCACAGCAACAGCCTTCCTCACCTCTGAAGCTCCTTCCTCACCTCTGAAGCCCCTTCCTCACCTCTGAAGCCCCTTCCTCACCTCTGAAGCTGCACATTCATGGTAAGAAAGGAGCTCGACACCCTGAGCTAAATCAAAGGTGCTTCCAAGGCTGGCTTTAAGATCTGAGAAATTTCTTAAAGATCCCCACTCCAGGTCAGGATCCTGCTGCTCCCAGGCACAGCAGGAACAGCTGGAGCTGCCATCCTGTTCAAACTCATCAGCTTTCACTGAAAGCAGATGAGGAAAGCCCCGTGTGACCCCCCCCAGTTAGAAGGAACTACTGCTTTTGTATTGTTAGTACAGGTAAAGGTAAAGCAGGTTAATGATTCATCCCATGTAGTACAAATACTTTCATTTTCATTAATTTTACTTTTTTTCCCCATTTCTGACAACCCCACACCTCGCAGGGATTTTATATTTGGGCTCCTGACACGCCCACAGCAGGAGAGTAAAGAAATGAGGTGGGAGATGGCAGCAAAGCTCCTGTTAATTATTTCTGATTTTAAAGAGCTTGCAATGTTATTGGTCTGCACAGACAAGACCAACTTTGTTCACCCAGACTCCTGTTCTTCCCACCAGGCTGGGGGGAGGCAGAGAGGCTGGAGAGCAGGGAAGTCAGACAGACCTGCTCTACTGGGATGGCCAATCAGGGTCTTCTTAGGGACACTGTTTTCCAAAATAATGTGCAATACCTCAGGAAAAAATCACCTGGATGTGTCCAGTCCTTGCAGCAAGGGGCTCACCTGCCCAGAGCAATGGGAAACACAGTCACAGCTCAAGGGTGGTGCTGCAATGCCAACAAAGAGGAGGGAGCTCAAAATTAGACCCCCTAAGGCTCCCCAGTGTCTTTGTGCCGGGCACAGGTACCATCCTCAAACCAAGGCTGCCTGGCTCCTGTCCAAGCAAAAATCGGACTTGACCCCGTGGAGACTCCTTCCTAAAGGAGTCAGAGGTGCCCTGGACCATTCCTGGGAGCCCACCCACCCTCGGGGTGGCTGCTGTGGAATGGGGGGTGTAATCAGGAGGTAAATCAGAGGGTGCACCCTCGGAGGGACAGCAGAGCTGGGCCGGGCATTGGCTCCCCGGCTCTCACGTGGGGTGGTGCTCACCTGCCAGAGCTTTTGGATGCTATTCCTTTAAGGCACAACAGGTGGAAATGCAGGGCTAAAGGAGTATTTAAACCAGCCTGGCACTGCCAGAGCCCTCGTCCTGCTGGGACAGGGAGGCAGGACACTCACAGAAGGTCCCGGGGTCACCAGCGGACTAAGAGTGGTCAGCCTGAAAGAAAAAGCAAGAAGCACAAAACTCCTGCAGAAGGAACTTCAGGTGTAAGTAGTGCTGCTTCTTTGTCTTTTGGAAATGCAAAATCTTTCTTACTACCTCTTTCAGGTGGGGAAGGAGAAGAGCAAGAATCTGGAGCCACTTTTGAGGGTTCTTCCTCGCACGTGTAGAGAAGCAGCAGGTCTCAGTGGTGGGAGGCTGATTTCTTGTGAAAGAAGCTCAAAACCACAGGAACAGGGTTGTGACAGTTATGTTTTCTTCTCTGCAGTAGTTTTTTTAATCTTTCCTTTCTGGAAAAAAAAAAGAAAAAAAAATAAGGATAACTATCATTACAATATTTGCATTAAGTATTAACCTAGAAAATAACAAATGTTAGTAAATATTACTATAGCAACCTAAAGCTTTGCTACTCAGCCTAAGGTCATTATGGTCTTTTGAGTTACAAGAGGCAAATTTTGAAATTTAAGAGGAGAATTGGTGCAGTTATGTCCTAAAGGAGCTCTGAGGAGCTCTCAAGCTTGTACAGCTATCAGGAAGATAAATAAGAGAATGGTCTGGGCACAGTGTCCTAAAACTGAAATCAGAGAGTCCTTTCACACTCAGATCAAGAGTGAAGGTGTGGGTTTCTGCACACCCTGCAAAGAAAACATTCATACAGGATTTAATACATTCCATCTGAAGCACAGAGAAATATCAGCTCCTAATTGTTAATGAATCCTGCACTGGCACTGTCCACCCATCCAGGGGCTGTACAGTGAGTTGGGCCATGGGATGTTCCTGCTCCCTGCAGCAGGAGTAGAATTAAACTATAGAATAGTTTAATATTAAACTATAATTAAATGCTTAAATTAAATAATAATTAAATAATTAAATAGTAAAAATTAAATAAATAAATAAAATAATGAAATATAATTAAACTATAGAATAGTTTAATAGTGTCAAAGTTGGTTTCGCTTTCCAGCCCAAGAAACACATGAACCATGACACTCTTATCTGAAAAGCAACAAGTTGGTGCATGGGACACCTAACACCATAAAGGAATATAAAATTAGGTCACATGTTGATGAATCTAACAGCTTAAAGGAACATAAAATCAGGCCAGCAGCACAATCTTGGCTGGGATTTCAGTCACTGCCATGAGGGCTGTCTGATTGTTCTGTTTCATTTCTTCTCTGGAATATATTGCTCATGCAGGGCAGTGTTTAACTGACAAACAGTTTTAGGTGGGAGGGTCACAAACACTGCAGAAATTCCTAAAAACTGCTGATTTCTTAATATGTCTTGATAACCTTCAGTAAGTTCTGCCCAGGCTTTTCTGCTCACTGTATCACAAAAGGAGCACTTCCTATTTATCTTTTCCATATTGTGAAGGAGTTTGCAACTTGAAATGTTTATTTTCTGTATGTGTTTAGGTCAGCTTGATCTTTTATCTGAGAGTTGATTCCTCGTTCTCAACTCCATAAAAATGGGGTGAAATGGTGGCTTTTCCCCATCCCACTACAGCAAACAAAACTCACAGTAAGGTAATATATACAGTGACCTTGATGAGCAAAGTAAAGATGGGGATAACCCAGTCCTGTGCAGGAAGAAATCTGTTGCTGTACCCTTTTTTGGGGGCTCAGAATTCTTCAGCACCTCCATAAATCACCCTTAGCACAAATGCCAGTGCTGCTCCTCACCAGTACAACCCTTAATGCTGGTCTTCCTTTAAAAGGATTTGAGGGGGGAAATATTACATATATATAGAATATGTATATCACCCATATGTTATTATTTCTTCAACTGTTTGAATAACAGCAAACATTCCACAAAAGAGAGGGGCTCCCAGGCTGGAATGACAAATGGCACGACTAAATCCTCGTGTTTTGTCCATCCCACTGCACGGCCTTGACATTGGTCATTATTAAAAGCAATAGTTAATAGCTAATGGATTGGGCTGTGCTGATCCCTGGCAACTTCCATCAGGACCTCTGAGGAGCTGGCATGCTCCTGGTGCAGCTGAGTCAGCAGAATTTGGGAACTGGACTCTGGTATTTCATACCCAGCCAGAGCAGCTGCTTGCTCACCTTTGCAGAACTCGGGGATCAGTTCCTGATCTCTTCCCAATCATTATAAATCTGAAGATATTTCTCCCTAGGGCTGACAGATTCCCAAAAGCACAAGAGAAATGCAGGGAAGGTCTTGTCATGGCTGAGGTTTGGAAGAGCCAACCTGGTCAGAGAGCACCTGGGAAATATCAAAATGCAGGCAAACAACAGTGCTGGAAGGGAAGGTGATGGTCCCAACCCAGGTCAAGCCCGTGGTGCTGAACCAGAAAAGTCCACACACAGTAGATTAGGAAACACAGACAGAGAGGTCTCCTACCACACCTACTGCTGACCAGCCTCCTGCTGCCTGCAAAGGCACCATCAGCCACTTTCTGTGGACAGACACACTGAAGGTATGTCTATCTAAGAAAGAGGGACTGACTATGGAGTTTGAGGGAGGCTCTGACCTCCCCAGAGCTTTACACACAGCATTAAAATGTCTTTATCACTCAGTGGAGGTG